TGTAAGTTTGCAAGAACTTCTTTTAAGGAGATGAAGCCGTTGAATTAATTTGCATCATCTCCATATTATAAGGACGTGCTTTCTTGAGGACTGCAAAATCATGTGAACATTTCCAACATAAGGTCAACCGAACTAACTCCTTTTCCTGTAAACTGGGACTTTTAGATAAATGTACTGGAGAGAACAGGTAATGAACAGAATAATGGAATAACAGAGTTGCAAGGGGCATTGGGGGTCTTCTAGTCCAACCCCCTGTTTGGCAGGAAACCCTACACAACTTCAGACAAATGGTTATCCAATATCTTCTTAAAAACTTCCAGTGTTGGAGCATTCACAACTTCTGGAGGCAAGTTGTTCCAATGACTAATTGTTCTCACTGTTAGGAAATTTTCCCTTCGTTCTAAGTTGCTTCTCTCCTTGATTAATTTCCACCCATTGCTTCTTGTTCTACACTGAGGTGCTTTGGAAAATAGCTTGACTCCCTCTTCTTTGTGGCAGCCCCTGAGATATTGGAACACTGCTATCATGTCTCCCTTATTCCTTCTTTTCACTAAACTAGACATACCCAATTCCTGCAACTGTTCTTCATATGTTTTAGTCTCCAGTCCCCTAATCATTTTTGTTGCTCTTCTCTGCACCCTTTCTAGAGTCTCCACATCTTTTTTACATGATGGCAACCAAAACTGGTTTCAGTATTGCAAGTGTGGCCTTACCAAGGCATTATAAAGTGGTATTAACCCTTCACGTGATCTTGATGCTATCTCTCTGTTTATGCAGCCTAGAACTGTGTTGGCTTTTTTGGCAGCTGCTGCACACTGCTGGCTCCTATTTAAATGGTTGTCCACTAGGACTCTAAGATTCCTCTCTTTTTCCAGCTCTTCTCTGCCTGAGTGATTTTGTTGCAGATGCTTAGACAATTTATATTGTAGTTCTCGGGTGTCCCCACTCAAAACACTTTTCAGGAAAGGCTTTTGCATGAGATCCCTTAAGATCTCTTTCACTGTGCCTGTTGTACAATAATAGACAGCTTATCCCAAGCTTTTAGGTTGTTCATTTGCAGATAGATGTTGGAACTGTCCTTGGAGGCAGTAAACCGTCCTTGGATTGTTGGTGAATAAGAATTGATACTAGATGTGTAGTAGTATGTCAGAATTTCTTGCAAAAATCAAACCCAGAACCACACACAGATAACTTCAGATTCACATTCAGCTGGATTCATTATAACTTTTTTATATGCATAATAACAGATGAAGTAATTTTACAATACCAATAGCAGAGAACAATTTCACTTCAGTTTAGATCAGCAGACAAGATCAGACTAGTTTCATTTTAGATCTGAGCAGATTAGATTCAGTTTCTCTGCACAGACTGAGAAGCTGCAGACTAAGACACGCCCTAGCTCCAGTGTATCTCAGCTCCCAATTGGCTGATTTAGTTGCTATGCCTATTCATTGGTTGACCTTGTTACCATGTCTCTGCCAGTTCATGAATAATCTGACATAGTAAACAAGCCATTCCAGTCCTTGGCCAGGTTTCTGTCTGATCCAATACATGCTATAACTGTTAAGGTTGAATCCAGTGGCAGCGCAAGTCAGTTTATAGGATTCTCCTGGTTTCCTCACCACTGGGTCTGTCTTGACAGGGGAAACCCGAGAAGCACATAATGAGTTGTCTCCAAGGAAAGAGGATGAATAGTTGCACTTTCTGCTCTTGGCTTCTCCACTCAAGGGACCCCTGGAGTAATTGTACAAGGAAGAAAGCAGGTGGAATCACTGTGCGCCTTGCACAATAATACAAGGCAGAGTCTTCAAGTTTCAAATTGTTCATCTGGAGATAAGTTGAAGTCTGGGAATTGTCCCTGGAGACCGTGAATCTTCCCTCCACTTTGGAGTTATACCACTTTGTAGTTCCTTCTGGTTTACTAACAGTTGCCACCCACTCCAGTCCTTTTCCTGGAGACTGTAGAATCCAGTGCATTGTATAGTTAGTAAAGGTGAATCCAGATGCTTTACAGGTTAGGCGGATGGAACCTTCTGGGATTACAACACCCCCTCCAGTCTGCACCAACTTCACTTCTGCATGGCAGCCTGAAAATCAAACATCAACAGGGAATGAAGAGCAAACCTGAACAGGAACATTTATTAACTCCTACTTTTGGTTATGAGAGCAGATCTACCTGAAAGATGAATAAAGAACAGGAGGAAAGAACAAAGAAGCATATCTCCAGTTATGTTGACTTCTCTTGAAGCTGATTGTTTGATTTGGCTCCACGCATATAAATTTGTAAGAACTGCTTTTAAGGAAATGAAGCCGTTGAATTCATTTGCATCATCTCCATATTATAAGGACGTGGTCCTTTATTGGGGACTGCAAAATCATGTGAACATTTTCAGCTTAATGTCAACACAACTAACTTCTTATCCTGTATCTTGGCACTTTTAGATAAATGTATTGAAGAAAACAGGTTTTAAAGAAATGACTTACACATGCTTAATGTTAAACTCATGTTTTGTCATTTTCATTAAAACACCTAGTTTTTAATTTAACCTAAGAAATAAAACCTAATTCATTCTATATGGACAAACCTTGTCCAATGGTTACAGAAAATATAAAATATAATAAAATATATGCAATGTATTGAGCCTGGTCAGCGGGTGAAGGCCCCTGTTGGGGAAGCAAGTTCCGTTTCTGTTCTATGATTGGTTGGCTGTCTGACAGCCAGTATATAAGAGCTGTCAGACAGAGTTTGCGCACGCAGTGTTCCTAGGCAGCTCTATGTTGGGTTGTCTAGTGTTATGATTAAACAGTTGGTTACCACAGACTCTCATCGTGTCTGCCCATCATTCTGACAGCCGGTATTTGCCAATAATTTAATTATATAATATAATTTAAATTCCCAAGAGTGCATATTGGCTTAGGCCCTGGGCATCCTGATAATTCCCTCCTCCAATATTAAAGAGTTGTTAGCTTCTCAGTTTTTTTCAATATCAAACAAGAGTAATCATGAGGTCCAAAATCATTATACTCCTAGTCTAAATCTTGAAGTGTATATTAAGTTATTAAGCAGCACACTCATTTAACTCTCAGAACCAAAAATGTGTGGGGACACTCTGGCTTTCATGTTTATTTCTAAAAGTGCCAATGAAGTTAAGGCCATTCAGAACTGCTGGAGACTGTTGTTCCATTAAATTGGAATTCTGACACAAATTTTAGTGTCCGGATCCCATCCTGGAGGAAGCCTGCACTGCCAGTTCTGGTGGGCATTAAAGGACAATCAGAGCGATTGAAGCAAGGCAAGTAACCTTGTCCTATGACTTTATAGGTAATAACTAGCACTTTGAAGTATTTTTCTGCAACAATTACAGTAGTATTCAGGCAGTAGATGGCAGTGTTTGCAAGTTGGGATCTATGGTATATAATCTATGTTCTTTTGTTCTAAGTACAGTTTCCAGTTTTCTCTTACAAGTTAAAACAATTGAGCAGTAAAGCACATGGTGACTGTACACTTTGTTTTATCTGTGGTTTCTAACAGAAGCTAGTGCAACGAATACAACAGAAGTTTTATAAGGTCAAAATGTGCATCCCCCTAAATTCTCAAACAATGCAGATTAGAAATCATTTTCAAGAGCAGACCTGGTGAAGAGCCACTACCAGAACAACCATGATAAGTGCCTGAGTCTTGGGGAGAACAGTCACCTGAGAAAACCTCTTAAAAGACCCTTCCTCATTCTCACAGAGTATGTAAAAAGTGGGAGTGGACAGGGCATTCAGAGTTGAAATACTCTATTGCTGTATCGTTCTTCTGAATGTAATATTGCTCTATGGCTTCAGTTTCCTTGCCTGGCCTAGCTTGCAGGTTTGCCAATTGAATGCTGAATAAGGGATGAGTCCCTTGATTCAAACCTTAGCATAGTTTGCATAAAAGAGGAACCAATGTAAACATCAATGGACAGGTCACTTTGACACACATTGTTACTAAGGGAAAGGGAGCTGAAGCAGTTTTTGCAGATTTGCGATCACCAAGTAATATTTGGAAGCAATTCAGACAATTACCCCCTTGATTCCCTGGGGTATAAGAAAGATGGGAAGTACAGCTGAATCCGACTTGCAACAGTCTATTATTTTAGCTGATTTGCCTGCCTTTAGTTTATACCTTACTGCATCTAGCAGATCTTCTCAAAACAAAACTTGATTTGGGAAAAACATCCGGGAAGGAAATTACATTCAATTCAAAATATTTAATGAAGAATATGGCTTCTCATGGAATTAATCCCTGAAAAGGGAAAGGAGCACATTTTGAGATGTCATCTGGTCTTGGAAGAAGAAGAAACCACAGCAAAATAGTTGGAAACCAATGGGTGAATGATGTTCAACCACACTAAGTGTGGAGCAATAATATCTTTGGGGGTATTTTTGTCTTGTCTTTTCACCTTCATCTCTTCTCTGCCTGACTGATTCTGTTCCAGAGGCAGAGCTGTCTTAACGCATGGGCCTGATGGGCACTTGCCCCTGGGCCCCACAAGCATAGGGGCCCCATACTAATCTGTGTATGTTAACCCTTCAATGTGCCTTGTGTCATATAAATAAAGCAACTGTATGGCTTACTTAGTATCCTGGTGTTTTTCAAGCCTCGTGTATTGTTCAAATGTTTATCATGTTGATTAGTTGTTGCTGCACAGCAAGTTTTTAATGTCTCAACACCGATTTTGTTGGAAGTGCCAATAAAATAAATAAATATATGTTTATTTTTATCAACTATTTACATTTTTATTCTTGGGAGTAGTTGTCATAGGGGCCCCACTACACTACTTTGCCTGGAGGCCCACAATGCTGTTAAGACAGCCCTGGGCTAGAGAACCCATTTTGTAGTTCTCTGCTCTCTACCACGGAGACATTTCAGTAGTGAAAGGAAAAGCTTTTGCTTAAGCTCTATTTCACTGTGTCTCTTACACAGTAATAGACAGCCGTGCATTCAGCTTGTAGCATTTAGGTTGTTTAAGCTATTTCACTGTGTGTCTTGCACAATAATAGACAGCCGTGTATACAGCTTTTAGCTTGTTCGTTTGAAGATAGAAGTTGAAATTGTTCTTGGAGGCATTAAAATATCCTTGGATTGTTGGCGAATAAGAGTTGTCACTAGATGAGTAATAGTAAACAAGCAATTCCAGTCCTTGGCCAGGTTTCTTTCTGACCCAATACATATTCTTGTGGTTAATGTTGAATCCAGCGACAGCACAAATGAGTTTATGGGATACTCCTGGTTTCTTCAGCACTGAGTCTGACTGGGTCAGAGATACCTGCAAGAGGCCACCTAGTGAAAAAACACCAAGCATAATTGGATAGCGGTTAGAAAATAAGAGCCATAGAACTTGACATAGAAAATAGCAGGAGAGCAAATTCCATAGAATTAAAAACATTTAATGAAAAATGTGGCTTCTCATGGCAAAAATCCCACAAATCTTTCTGAAATGAATCCCTGAAGAAGAAAGATATTTTGAGATGTCATCGGGCCCTGGAAAAAGAAGAACTTGCAGGAAACCAAAATAGCTAGAAACCATATGTTAATAATGTTCAACCACACTAAATATAGTGTAATAATATATTTGTTTTGTCTTTTCAGTTTCATCCCTTCTCTGCCTGAGTGATTTTGTTTCAGATGCTTAGACAACTCATTTGGCAGTTCTTGAGTGTCCCTTCTGGAGACATTTCAGTAGGGAAAGGAAAAGTTTTTGCATGAGATCCCTTAAGATCTATCTCACTGTGTCTCTTGCACAGTAATAGACAGCTGTGTCCTCAGCTTTTAGGTTGTTCATTTGCAGATAGAAGTTGGAACTGTCCTTGGAGGCAGTAAAACGCCCTTGGATTGTTGGAGAATAATAGTTGCTACTAGATGTGTAGTAGTAAACAAGCCATTCCAGTCCTTGGCCAGGTCTCTGCCTGATCCATCCCATATAGTAGCTGTTAACGTTGAATCCAGTGGCAGTGCAAGTCAGTTTATGGGATTCTCCTGGTTTCTTCAGCACTGGATCTGACTGGGTCAGAGCTACTTGGGAGAGGCCACCTAATGAAAAACAAAGAGCAAAATTGGATAATGGTTAGAAAGTAAGAGCCATAGTTAATATATGAGATTTCTTTGAGTGCTAGAAAAAACTTAACATGGACCAAATTACAAACCTTTGGAGAAGGCAGCCAACATGATGAGAATTAAAAAGTTGGGTGTCATTCTGAAGAAGTTTGGAGGGATGAGATTTGCACCTTGAGTTGAGCCTGAAGAAGCAGATTTGAGAGTTTAAATAGGAAGTGAAAGTCTTGCTGACTTTGCATAAATCCTGCTGGGACCTGTATAAATATTAGATGAAGTCCAGAATTGTACTGAAATTTAGTTGAGAATAATGATAGAGTGTGTCTGGATGCAAGCAGTCCTCGACTTGTGGATTGGAATTTTGCTTGCTAGTCAGTGCTGCCATAAATGGAGGCAACCACAAAAGTTCAACCCTTCTTTTCAGTGATTGATAAGAGAATCTTTTGGTTGCTAAGCAAATCCATTGTTCCAAAATGGGGGCCTTTTTTTCACAGATACTTTGCTGTATCTGGCAGATCTTCTCAAAATAGAACTTGATTTGGGAAAAACAGCAGGAGAGCAAATTCTATACAATTCAAAACATTTAATGAAAAATATGGCTTCTTGTGGAAAAAAATCCCAGGAATCCTTCTGAAATGAATCCATGAAGAGAAAAGGGAAGACATTTTGAGACATCCTCTGGCTTTGGAAGAAAAAGAACCTGCAGGAAACCAGAGCAGACTAGTTAGAAACCAATAAGTGAATGATGTTGAAACCACACTAAATATGGAGTAATAATATATTTGAGGTTTGCCATGTTCATTTCATCCTGTTTCTGCCTCAGTGATTTTGTCCCAGAATATAGAGAACTCATTTTGTGATTCTCTGAAGACATTTCAGTGTCAAAAGGAAAGGTATTTGCATAGGAGCCCTACACCATTTCAAACAAATGGATGTCCAATCTCTTCTTAAAAAATTCCAGTGTTGGAGCAATCACAATCAGACCTGCAAGATTCTGGTATATTATACTCTGTCTGCCACTTTGGTTGCTTTGTTGTTTGTGTGGATGAGAGTTGGTCCTTTCTGGCAGATGCCCTCCAGGGACAAACGCTGAATGTTGTGGTTTTTGTTCTTGCCTTCTCCTCTCAAGGGACCCCCTGGAGTAATTGTACAAGGAGGAAATCAGATGGTATCACCGTGTGTCTTGCACAATAATACAAAGCAGAGTCTTCAGGCTTCAAATTGTTCATCTGGAGATAAGCTGAAGTCTGGGAATTGTCCCTGGAGACTGTGAATCTTCCCTCCACTTTGGAGTTATACCACTTTGTAGTTCCTTCTGGTTTGCTAACACTTGCTATCCACTCCAGTCCTTTTCCTGGAGCCTGTCGGATCCAGTCCATTGCATGGTTAGTAAAGTTGAATCCAGATGCTTTACAGGTTAGGCGAAGGGAACCTTCAGGGATTACAACACCCCCTCCACTCTGTACCAACTTCACCTCTGCATGGCAGCCTGAAATTCAAACATCAAGAGTGAATGAGGAGGAAACCTGAACAGGAACAGTTATTAACTCCTACTTTTGGTTATGAGAACAGATCTACCTGAAAGATGAATAAGGAACAGGAGGAAAGTCCAAAGAAGCATATCTCCAGTTATGTTGTCTTCTCTTGAGGCTGATTGGTTGATTTGGCACCGCAGATGTAAGTTTGCAAGAACTTCTTTTAAGGAGATGAAGCCGTTGAATTAATTTGCATCATCCCCATATTATAAAGACGTGGTCCTTTCTTGGGGACTGCACAATCATGTGAACCTTTTCAGCTTAAGGTCAACAGAACTAACTCCTTATCCTTAACTTGGCATTTTCAGATAAATGTACTGGAGAAAACAGGTTTTAAAGAAATGATTTACACATGCCTAATATTAAACTCATGTTTGGTCATTTTCAATAAAACTCCTTGAAGTTTTTAATTTAATCTAAGAAATAAAATGTAACTCAGTCCATATGGACAAACCTGCAGATAACTTGAAAAATTAATTTAAATTCACAAGAGTGCATACTGGTTAGGTCCTAGGAATCCTGATAATTCCCTCAACCAAAATTAAAGAATTGTTAGCTTTAATTCAAGAGCAGATTAGAAATGCTTTTGTGAGTTGACACTCAGCCTTTTCAAGATGCAACACTTCTATTCATGAGGTCCAAAATCCTTTTACTCCTAGTCTAAATCTTGAAGTGGATATTAAGTAATTAAGCAACAGACACTTTTAATTCTCAGAACCAAAAACGTGTGGGGACACTTTTTTTTTTTAATTTGATTTATATGCCGCCCTTCTCCGGAGACTCAGGGCAGCTTACAATGTGCTAAGCAATAACCGTCATCCTTTTGTATATTTATACAAAGTCAGCTTATTGCCCCCACAACTGGGTCCTCAATTTACCTACCTTAGAAAGGATGGAAGGCTGAGTCAACCTTGAGCCTGGTGAGATTCGAACCTGCAGTAATTGCAGGCAGCTGGTCTTAATAACAGGGTGCCTTAGACCACTGTACTACCAAGGCTCTTTTTTTGTCTTTCATGTTTATTTCTTAGAGTATGAATGAAATTAGGGCCATTCAAATCTCCTGGGGAGTGTTATTCCATTAAGTTGGAGTTCTGACACAAATTTTAGAATCCGGATCCCATCCGGGAGCAAGCCTGCACTGCCAGTTCTGGTGGGCATTAAAGGACAATCAGAGAGAATGAAGTAAGGCAAGTAACCTGATCCCATGGCTTTATAGGTAATAGCTAGCACCTTGAAGTATTTTTGTGCAACAATTAGAATAGTATTCAGGGAGTAGATGCAGTGTTTATAAGTTTGGGTCTACGGTATATACTCTATATTCTTTTGTTTCCCACTACAGTTAAAACAGTTGAGCAGTAAAGCACATGGTGACTGTACACTTTGTATTATCTGTGGTGCTATAAACAGAATTTCTAATAGATGTTAGTGCAATTAACTCATTAGAAGTTTTATAATGGCCAAACTGCATATCCCTATAAATTCTCAAACAGTTCAGATTAGAAATCACCTTCAAGAGTAGCCCCTGTGAAAGGCACTACCAGAACAACAATCAGAAGAACCTGACTCTGGGGGAGAAGAGTCACATGATAAAACCTCTTACAAGACCCTCCCTCATTCTCACAAAGGCAAAGGAGAGAGGGGGAAGTTGAAAATCTCTATTACTGTATTTTTCTAATGAAAATCGTATAGATGATATATGAGTTGGGTCTCCTTGTCTGGACTAGCTTGAAGGTTTAGCAACGATTGGATGCTGAATAAGGTATCAGTCACTTGATTCAATTTCCATTAAAGAAGAAGCAATGGAAAGATCAATGCACAGGTTGCATTGACAAAATTGCACAGTCATGGTTACAAAGGAAAAGGGAGCTGAAGCAGTTTTGCAGATTTGCAATCACCAGATAATATTTGGAAGCAATTCAGACAGCTACTGATTCACTGGAGTATAAGAAGGATGGGAAATACAGATGAATCAGACTTCCAACGTTGGGTAATTTTAGCTGACATTTTTTTAAGCATTCCAAACGAGAGGGCATAATTCACACTGCTTGCCTTTCATTGATACTTTGTTGTACATAGCAGATCTTCTCAAAGTAGAACTTGATTTGGGAAAAACAGCAGGAAAGGAAATGCCATAGAATTCAAAATATTTAATGAAGAATATGGCTTCTCATGGAAGAAATAGCTGGAATCTTTCTGAAATGAATCCCTGAAGAGAAAAGGGAGGACATTTTGAGATGTCTTCCGACCCTTGAAGAAGAAGAAGAAGAACCTGCAGGAAACCACAACAAATTAGCTGGTAAACCTATAAGTGAATGATGTTCAACCATACTAGGTGTAGCATAGGGTATATTTGTTTTGTCTTTTCAGTTACATCCCTTCTCTACCTGAATGATTTTGTTCCAGATGGTTACACAACTCATTTGGTGGTTCTCGGGTGTCCCCTCTTGAGATGTTTCAGAAGTGAAAGGAAAGGTTTTTGCATGAGATCCCTTAAGAGCTATCTCACTGTGTCTCTTGCACAGTAATAGACAGCAGTGTCCTCAGCTTTTAGGTTGTTCATTTGCAGATAGAAGTTGGAACTGTCCTTAGAGGCAGTAAAACGTCCTTGGATTATTGGTGAATAATAGTTGCTACTCAATGAGTGATAGTGAACAAGCCATTCCAGTCCTTGGCCAGGTTTCTGCCTGAACCAATCCATCCAGTAGCTATTAACATTGAATCCAGTGGCAGCACAAGTCAATTTATGGGATTCTCCGGGTTTCTTCAGCACTGCATCTGATTGGGTCAGAGCTACCTGGGAGAGGCCACCTAATCAAAAACACAGAGCAAAATTGGATAATGGTTAGAAAGTAAGAGCCATAGTTAATATATCAAATTTATTTGGGTGCTAGAAAAAAAACTTAACATGGACCAAATTACAGACCTTTGGAGAAGGCAGCCAGCATGATGAGAATTAAGAAGTTGGGTGTCATTCTGAAGAAGTTTGGAGGGATGAGATTTGCACCTTGAGTTGAGCCTGAAGAAGGAGATTGAGAGTATAAATAGGAAGTGAAAGTCTTGTTGGCTTTGCATAAATCCTACCGGGACTTGTATAAATGTGAGATGAAGTCTAGAAGTGCACCAAAATTTAGTAGATAATACTTTTGACAAGGATAATGGAGTCTATCTGGATGAAAGCAGTCCTCAACGTATGGATCGGAATTTTGGTTGCAAGTCAGTTTTGTCACAAGTAGAGGAAACCACATAACTGGACACAAATTTTCACACCATTATTTTCAGCGATTGATCAGAGAATCTTTTTGTGGTTAAGCAAGTCCATTGTTCTGAAGAGGCAGTATTTTCCCCCCAGACACTTGCAAAAAATGCCAGAGATTGGCAAAAAAAATATTTCAAATGGTCATGTGACTGCCACACACTGTGACTTTCTATTTTATTTTATTTTATTTGCAAAGAAAATGGAGCGTATCTTGGTGCTGGTGATTTTGACAGAATTACACATAAGCTGTTACTCTGGGAAAGGCAAGTTATGAATGGCAAATGCCATTATCTTCAGTATTTGTAAGGCATCCTAAACAGATTGCATCTACTATATACCCAACATTAGCCTTCCTATGTGAAAAGAAATTAAGTTAAGATCCCTCCTGTCAACAATTTGATCATGTCTTGTATAGATTTGTCCCAACATGTAAAGTCCCATCCTCGTCTACCCTGACAGAAAGTTGGTGAGGATAAAGTCAAGAAGGTTAACTGATCCTATGGCATGTAGAGATGTATAGCTGATAACCAGCACTTAGAAGTGGGAGCCTGTGCACCTCACAGATTAGAAGTTTTCTAATGGTCACGTTGCCTATCCCTCCACATTCTGCAGCAATGTAGATTAGGAATTATCTTCAAGAGCAGTCCCAGGCAGTGTACTTTACAGTAATCAAACTGCAGAGGGCCAAGGAAATTGTCTTGAGGGACAGTTTAAGAATCAGAGCCTTGATAGTACAGTGGTTTAGTGCACCCTGTTATTAACACAGCTGCCTGCAATTTCTGCTGGTTCAAATCTCTCCAAGGCTCAAGGTTGACTCAGCCTTCCATCCTTTCTAAGGTAGGTGAAATGAGGACCCAGTTTGTGGGGGCAATAAGCTGATTTTGTATAAAATATACAAAAGAATGAAGGCTATTGCTTAACGCATTGTAAGCCACCCTGAGTCTCCGGAGAAGGGCGGCATATAAATCAAATTAAAAAAAAAAAAAAAGAATCAGAGGAAAGAAAGCTGAGTCTGGGTCAGAACTGTCATCTGAGAAAACATCGCAGACAAGAATCTCCTTCATTCTCACAAAGATAAAAGGAGAGGCATATGCACTGAGATTTGAAAGATGCTATTACTACATCTTTCTAACTAGTATTTATTCTACATGGCTTTCTTTCTTTCTTTCTTTCTTTCTTTCTTTCTTTCTTTCTTTCTTTCTTTCTTTCATCAAGCATGTATTAGATAACAGATATAAGTATAAACATAATTATGAATACATGAAATGGATACAAATGAAAAGGGATGGTAGGCACATTGGTGCGCTTATGCATGCCCCTTACAGACCTCTTAGGAATGGGGTGAGGTCCACAGTAGACAGTCTAAGGTTAAAGTTTTGGGGATTTGGAGAAGAAACTACAGAGTCAGGTAGTGCATTCCAGGCATTGACCACTCTTGCTGAAGTCCTATTTTCTGCAATCAAGTTTCGAGCGGTTTACCTCGAGTTTGTATCTGTTGTTTGCTCATGTATTGTTGTGGTTGAAGCTGAAGTAGTCACTGACAGGTAGGACATTGTAGCAGATAATTTTATGTACTACACTTAGATCAGACTGAAGGCAGCGTAGTTCTAAGTTATCTAAGCCCAAAATTTCAAGTCTGGAGGCATAAGATTTTTGGGGTTTTTTTGCTTTAATTTATATGCCGCCCTTCTCCGGAGACTCAGGGTGGCTTACAATGTGTTAAGCAATAGCCTTCATACTTTTGTATATTTATACAAAGTCTGCTTATTGCCCCCACAATCTGGGTCCTCATTTCACCTACCTTTGAAAGGATGGAAGGCTGAGTCAACCTTGAGGCTGGTGAGATTTGAACTTGCAGTAATTGCAAGCAGCAGATGTTAATAACAGTGTTTTACTCCACTGTACTACAGGCTCTTCTATTCTACTGTGGGTAGAGGAATGGAATAGAGGAATGGTAGAGCTTTGGTTTCCTAATCTGGTCTATCTTGCACATCTAACAATAAATTGGAAGCTGATGGAATTACTTAGAAATGAGAAGTTTCCAAAGAAGAAATAATGCAAATTGTCAATAGAAAAGGGACTTTGTTAGAATTACACAAAAAGCATTACAATGGAAAAGGGAGCTGAGACTCATTTGGAGGACCAAATTTGCCAGATGATATTGGTCAACAATTCAAACAATTACCCACTAATTCAGGAGTTTAAGAATGATGGGAAAGTATCCTACTTCCAAGATTTTCCTATTTTAGCTGACTTTTTTTTTCTATTTCTAAAAGAGAGCAATGGCTCTCACTGCCTGCCTTTAATTTATCCTTTGCAGATCTATTCAAAATAGAACTTGAATTGGGAAAAAAAAACAGCAGAAGATGAGGAAATTCCATACCATTCAAAACATTTAATGAAAAATGTGGCTACTCATGGAAAAAAATCCCAAGAATCTTTTTGAAATGGATCCCTGAAGAGAAAAGGGAGGACATTTTGAGATGTCACCTGGCCCTGGAAGAAGAAAAACATGCAGGAAACCACAACAAAGGAGCTGGAATCCAATAAATGAATGATGTTCAACCAAACTAAGAATAGAATAATAATTTATTTTGGGGTATATTTGTTTTCTCTTTTCATTTCCATCTCTTCTCTGCCTGAGTGATTTTGTTCCAGGTGCTTAGACAACTCATTTTGTGGTTCTCAGGTGTCCCCTCTCAAAACACTTTTCAGGAAAGGTTTTTACATGAGATCCCTTAAGATCTCTTTCATTGTTCCTGTTGTACAATAATACACAGCTGTGTCCTCAGCTTTTAGGTTGTTCATTTGCAGATAGAAGTTGGAACTGTCCAATGTAAACATAATCAAGGTACAGTCTTCCATATATGGTGGCTGTGCCCAGAAGCCAGGAAGTATTGGATTAGAATTAAAAAACAGTTGGAAGAAATCACGAGTCAATGTATTGAGCTATAACCAGAATTATTTCTATTAGGGATAACAAGAGGAAACTACAGTAAGGAAATTCAATATATGATAGTACATATAACAACGGCAGCCAGAATTGCCTATGCACAAAACTGGAAACAGGACAGCACCCTGTCTGAGAGAATGGTGATCAAAATGGTATTAGACCAGGGGTGAAATCCAGCAGGTTCGGACAGGTTCTGGGAAACCGGTAGTGGCAAATACCACCTCTGGCTGGCCCCAAAGTGGGGTGGGAATGGAGATTTTGCAATATCCTTCCCCCAGGAATAGGGAGGAAATGTGGATTTTGCAGTATCCTTCCCCTGGAGTGGGGTAGGAATGGAGATTTTGCAGTTTCCTTTCCCTGGAGTGGGGTGGGAAAGGAGATTCTGCAGTATCCTTCCCCTGCCATGCCCACCAAAAGCCACGCCCACAGAACTGTTAGTAAAAAAATATTAGATTTCACCACTGTATTAGACGGCACTGACATGGACAGGCTAACATTGGAATTAAAAGAAAGAGGGGAAACGGAATATTATTCAGTCTGGGATATGTGGTACAAATGGCTTGAGAATAGAAGTGAAGATTATAAGTAAAAGGTAATTTAAGAGGAACGCTAAAATTAAAGGCAATATATACTTAAAGGATGAATAAAAAATGTAACGTATGTTATGTATCTATGAGTTTCATCGATATGGGAATGCTATAAAAATTGTAAATGTGCTATAAAATAATGGAATATGTTCAAAAACATCATTCATTTAAAAAAAAAAAGAAGTTGGACCTGTCCTTGGAGGGAGTAAACCATTTGTTGGTGAATAAGTGTTGATACTAGATGAGGAGTAGTAAACAAGCCATTCCAGTTCTTGGTCAGGTCTCTGTCTGATCCAATACATATAGTAGCTGTTAACGTTGAATCATGTGACAGCACATGTCAGTTTATGGGATTCTCCTGTTTTTTTCACCACTGGGTCTGTCTTGACAGGGGACACTCAAAAAGCACATAATGAGTTGTCTCCAGGGACAGAGGCTGAATGGTTGCGCTTTCTGCTCTTGATTTGTCCTCTCAAGGGACCCCTGGAGTAATTGTACAAGGAGGAAAGCAGATGATATCACTGTGTTCCCTTGCACAATAATACACGGCAGAGTCTTCAAGCTTCAAATTGTTCATCTGGAGGTAAGCTGAAGTCTGGGAATTTTCCCTCGCGATGATGAATCTCCCCTCCAATTTTGAGTTAACCCACCGTTTAGTTCCTTGTGGTTGGCTAACACTTGCCACCCACTCCAGTCTTTTTCCTCGAGCCTTTCGGATCCAGTCCATTGCATAGTTAGTAAAATTGAATCCAGATGCTTTACAGGTTAGGCGGATGGAACTTCCAGGGACCACAACACGTCCTCCAGTCTGCACCAACTGAACCTCTGCATGGCAGTCTGAAAGTCAAATATGAACATTGAATAAGGGAGAAACCTGAACAGGAACTGTTATTAACTCCTACTTTTGCTTGTGAGAGCAAAACTACCTGAAAGATGAATAAGGAACAGGAGGAAAGTCCAAAGAAGCATATTGCCAGTTATGATGGCTTCTCTTGAAGCTAATTGGTGATTGGTTCTGCAGATGGAAGTTTGCAAGAACTGCTTTTAAGGAGATGAAGCCGTTGAATTCATTTGCATCATCTCCATATTATAAGGATATGGTCCTTGTTTGGGGACTGCAAAATCATGCGAACATTTCCAGCTTAAGGTCAACACAACTAACTCCTTTTCCTGTAACTAGGCACTTTTAGACAAATGTACTGGAGAAAACAGGTATTGAACAAATTACTTTCAGATGCCTAATATTAAATTCATATATTTTGTCATTTCATTAAAACTCCATGATGTTTTTTAATTTAATCTAAGAAATAAAATTTAACTCAGTCCATATGGACAAACCTTGCAGAAAACCTGAAAATTTAATTTAAATTCACAAGAGTGCATACTGGGTTAGGCCCTAGGAATCCTGATAATTCCCTCATCCAAAATTAAAGATTTGTTAGCTTCTCAACCTTTTCAAGATCAAACACTTCTATTCATTAGGTCCCCAACCATTTTATTCCTAGTCTAAAACTTGAAGTAGGTATTAAGTAATTAAGCAACAGAGCCATTTAACTCTCAGAACCAAAAATGTGTGGGGACACTCTGGCTTTCATCTTTATTTCTAAAAGTGCCAATGAAGTTAGGGCCATTCAGATCTGGGGATGTTGTTCCACTAATTTAATTTAATTTAATTTAATTTCCAATTTATATACCGCCCTTCTCCCTGAGGACTCAGGGCGGTGTACAGCCAAGATAAAAAACATAGAATACAAATATTAAAACATTTAAATATATATAAATTTTGGCCCAAAAGTTAAGAATCACAAACTAATTAAAAGAATCTAAAAATTTCTTCTAAGCCAACCCGGCTTGCTGAAAAAGTTGGAGTTGTGACACAAATTTTAGAATCTGGATCCCATCCTGGAGCAGGCCTGCACTTCCAGTTCTGGTGGGCATTAAGGGACAAGGGAAATAAGTAAGACAATTAACCTGATCCTATGGCTTTATAGGTAATAATTAGCACTTTGAAGTGCAACAGCTAAAGTAATATTCAGGCAGTAGATGGAAGTGTTTACAAGTTTGGATCTATGGTATATACCCTATGTTCTTTTGTTCTAAGTAAAGTTTCCTGTTACAGTTAAAACAGTTGAGCAGTAAAGCACATGGTGACTGTACACTTTGTTTTATCTGTGGTGCTATAAACAGAATTTCTAATAGATGTTAGTGCAATTAACTCATTACAAGTTTTATAATGGCCAAACTGCATATCCCTATAAATTCTCAAACAGTTCAGATTAGAAATCACCTTCAAGAGTAGCCCCTGTGAAAAGCCACTACCAGAACAACAATCAGAAGAACCTGACTCTGGGGGAGAAGAGTCACATGATAAAACCTCTTACAAGACCCTCCCTCATTCTCACAAAGGCAAAGGAGAGGGGGAAGTTGAAAGTCTCTATTACTGTATTTTTCTAATGAAAATCGTATAGATGATATATGAGTTGGGTCTCCTTGTCTGGACTAGCTTGAAGGTTTGACAACGACTGGATGCTGAATAAGGTATCAGTCACTTGATTCAATTTCCATTGAAGAAGAAGCAATGGAAAGATCAATGCACAGGTGCATGCATTGCTTTTATTTTATTTCATTTGCATTGACAAAATTGCACAGTCATGGTTACAAAGGAAAAGGGAGCTGAAGCAGTTTTGCAGATTTGCAATCACCAGATAATATTTGGAAGCAATTCAGACAGCTACTGATTCACTGGAGTATAAGAAGGATGGGAAATACAGATGAATCAGACTTCCAACATTTGGTAATTTTAGCTGACTTTTTTTTTAGCATTCCAAACGAGAGGTACTCTCGCTGCTTGCCTTTAATTTATACTTTGTTGTATCTAGCAGATCTTCTCAAAATAGAACTTGATTTGGGAAAGACAGCAAGAAAGGAAATTCCATACAATTCAAAACATTTTAATGAAGAATATGGCTTCTCGTGGAAGAAATCACAGGAATCTTTCTGAAATGAATCCCTGAAGAGAAAAGGGAAGACATTTTGAGATGTCATCTGGCTGAAACCACAGCAAACCAGCTGGAAACCTATAAGTGAATAAAAGTCAACCACACTAAATATAGTGTAATAATATATTTTGGGGTATATTTGTTTTGTCTTTTCAGTTACATCCCTTCTCTGCCTGAGTGATTTTGTTCCAGATGATTAGACAACTTATTTGGTGGTTCTCGGGTGTCTCCTCCTGAGACATTTCAGTAGTGAAAGGAAAAGTTTTTGCAAGAGATCCCTTAAGTTCTATTTCACTGTGTCTCCTGCACAGTAATATTCAGTGGTGTCCTCAGCTTTTAGGTTGTTCATTTGCAGATAGAAGTTGGAACTGTCTTTAGAGGCAGTAAAATATCCTTGGATGGTTGATGAATAAGAATTATAACTAGACGAGTAGTAGGTAAACAAGCCATTCCAGTCGTTGGCCAGGTTTCTGTCTGATCCAATACATATAGTAGCTGTTAACATTGAATCCACTGACAGCGCAAATCAGTTTGTGGGATTATCCTGGTTTCTTCAGCACTGCACCTCACTGGGCCAGAGTTACCTGAGAGAGGCCACCTAATAAAAAAACAACAAGCAGAATTGGATAATGGTTAGAAAGTAAGAGACATTGTAAAGATCTGAAATTCCCCTTGAGTGCTAGAAAAAGCTTACTATGGACCAAATTATAGACATTTGGAAAAGGCAGACAGCAAGATGAGAATTAAGAAGTGGGTTGTCATTGTGAACAGGTTTTGCACCTTGAGTTCAGCTTGAAGAAGGAGATTGAGAGTTTAAATAGAAAGTGAAACTCTTGTTGGCTCTGTTTAAATCCTATTGGGACCTGCATAAATATTAGATGAAATTTAGAAGACTACTGATATTAAGTAGTGAATATTTTCACAAAGATGATGTAATGTATCTAAATTCAAGCAGTCCTCCACTGATGACCAGAAATATGGACCATAATTTTGGTTATAAATTATTATTGTCAGAAGTAGAGTCAACTCACATGACTGGACACAAATTGTCAAGCATTATTTTCAGTGATTGATAAGAGAATCTTTGGGTTATTAAGCAAATTCATTGATCCTATTGGACAGTTTTTTCCCAAATACTTCCCCAAAAAAATGTTAGAGATTGACAAAAAAAAAATTCAAATGGTCATGGGATTGATTATTTCCTTTTATTTGCAAAGAAGGTGGAGTGTATGCTGATGATTTTGACAGAATTACACAAAAGGGATTACAAAGGGAAAGGGAGCTGAAATTTATTTTAAGGACGAGAATTGCTCCTCAAATGTTCAGAAACAATTGAGACAATTTATTGGGTTATAAGAAGGATGGGAACTAGTTCCAAGATTTTGCTATTATAGCTGATTTTTTAAAATTTGTTTTAATATTTCTAAAACAGATCTAGAATTCACACTTCCTGCCTTTATGTTATACTTTGATGTGTCTAGCAGATCTTCTCAAAATAGAACTTGATGGGGGGGGGCCAGCAGGAGAGGAAATTCCATATAATTCAAAACATTTAATGAAAAATATGACTTCTCATGGAGCTAAACCCAGGAATCCTTCCAAAATGAATCCCTGAAGAGGAAAGGGAAGCCATTTTGAGACATCCTCTGGCCCTGGAAGAAGAAGATCCTTCAGGAAACCAGAGCAGACTAGTTAGAAACCAATAAGTGAATGATGTTGAAACCACACTAAATATGGAGTAATAATATATTTGAGGGTTTATTGGTTTGGCATTTTCATTTCATCCCTACTCTGCCTCAGCGGTTTTGTCCCAGAATATACAGAACTCATTTTGTGATTCTCTTGAGGCATTTCAGTGGCAAAGGAAAAGTTCACCAGAACCTCTAGCCAAGATTCTGTGCAGTTCGGAGAATCCCCAAATCCCACTCCTGGCTGGTCCTGCCCACCCCACCACGCGCCTCTCAGGGGTCCCCACACGGCCCGTTTTGGATTCAGATAAGTGCAGGGTGCGTGCGGAGGCTTGGTGAAAAACAGGCCTACCGGAAGTTTAGGAAGGCTGGAAACGGGCCCATTTCCAGCCTCCAAAGGGCCTCCGGAGCCTTTGGATGCTGTTTTCGTCCTACCAAAGACTCAAGGAAGGCCTCTGAAGCCCAGGGAAGGTAAACAGCCCCCCCCACCATGGTGCAGGAGGCCGACCAGGCCATGCCCACCATGACCACACCCACCCAGCAACCGGGCAGAGAACCCCTTACTAGAATTTTTGAAGCCCACCCCTGGGGATCCCTATACCATTTCAGACAAATGGCTGTCCAATCTCTTTTTAAAAATTTCCAGTGTTGGAGCATTTACAATCAGACCTGCAAGATTCTGGTATATTAGCTGACTTTTTTTGGGGTGGGGTGGGGTGGAGATTCCTAAAAGAGTGCTAAAATTCACGGTGCTTGCCAAAACCGTAGAAATGGTTGTAGACTTTAGGAGAAACCCTTCCATATTCCACCTCTCACAATACTAGACAACACAGTATCAACAGTAGAGACCTTCAAATTTCTAGATTCTACCATATCGCAAGATCTAAAATGGACAGCTAACATCAAAAACATCATCAAAAAAGCACAACAAAGAATGTTCTTTCTGCGCCAACTCAGGAAGCTCAAACTACCCAAGGAGCTGCTGATTCAGTTCTACAGAGGAATTATTGAGTCTGTCATCTGCACCTCTATAACTGTCTGGTTTGGCTCTGCAATCCAACAAGACAGACACAGACTTCAGAGAATAATTAGAAAACACAATGGCTACCAACCTGCCTCCCATTGAGGACCTGTACACTGCACGAGTCAAAAAGAGACTCCTCAAATCCTGGACATAAACTGTTTCAACTCCTACCCTCAAAACGACACTATAGAGCACTGCACACTGGAACAACTAGACACAAGAACAGTTTTTTCCTGAATGCCATTACTCTGCTAAACAAATAATTTCCTCAACACTGTCAAACTATTTACTAAGTCTGCATTACTATTAATCTTCTCATTATTTCTACCACCCATCTCCTTCCATTTATGACTGTATGACTGTAATTTTGTGGCTTGTATCGTCACGATTTATATTGATATTGTTTCCTGATTGCTTATTTGTACCCTATGACTATCACTAAGTGTTGTACCTTATGATTCTTGATGAACGTATCTTTTCTTTTATGTACACTGAGAGCATATGCACCAAAGATAAATTCCTTGTGTGTCCAATCACACTTGGCCAATAAAAAATTCTATTCTATTCTATTCTAAAGCTGATACACTATTGTAATTAGCAGGTCTTCTCAAAATAAAAAAAAAATTGGGAAAAGCAGCAGGGGAGAAAATTCCATTTCATGAAACATTTAACAAAATATTGAATGAAAAATGTGTGGGAGACAAAGTTCACACAGGCTTCTGGGAGATTGCAAAAATGAGACTCAAATTTTGCATGCAAATCTGGGGACACAGTACTCCTGAAAGGTGTGGGAATGTCTTGCATATTTTCCATTCGTCTTTACTCTCTCTGCCACTCTGGTTGCTTTGTTGTTTGTGTGGATGAGAGTTGGTCCTTGCTGGCAGATACCCTCCAGGGACAGAGGCTGAATGTTGTGGTTTTTGTTCTTGCCTTCTCCTCTCAAGGGACCCCCTGGAGTAATTGTACAAGGAGGAAAGCAAACGGAATCACTGTGCGCCTTGCACAATAATACAAGGCAGAGTCTTCAAGTTTCAAATTGTTCATCTGGAGATAAGTTGAAGTCTGGGAATTGTTCCTGGAGACGGTGAATCTTCCCTCCACTTTGGAGTTATACCACTTTGTAGTTCCTTCTGGTTTACTAACAGTTGCCACCCACTCCAGTCCTTTTCCTGGAGACTGTCGGATCCAGTGCATTGTATAGTTAGTAAAGGTGAATCCAGATGCTTTACAGGTTAGGTGAAGGGAACCTTCAGGGACAACGAAACCTCCTCCAGTCTGCACCAACTTCACCTCTGCATGGCAGCCTGAAATTCAAACATCAAGAGTGAATGAGGAGGAAACCTGAACAGGAACAGTTATTAACTCCTACTTTTGGTTATGAGAGCAGATCTACCTGAAAGATGAATAAGGAACAGGAGGAAAGTCCAAAGAAGCATATCTCCAGTTATGTTGTCTTCTCTTGAGGCTGATTGGTTGATTTGGCTCCGCAGATGTAAGTTTGCAAGAACTGCTTTTAAGGAGATGAAGCCATTGAATTAATTTGCATCATCTCCATATTATAAGGACGTGGTTCTTTCTTGGGGACTGCACAATCATGTGAACCTTTTCAGCTTAAGGTCAACAGAACTAACTCCTTATCCTTAACTTGGCATTTTCAGATAAATGTACTGGAGAAAACAGGTTTTAAAGAAATGATTTACACATGCCTAATATTAAACTCATGTTTGGTCATTTTCAATAAAACTCCTTGAAGTTTTTAATTTAATCTAAGAAATAAAATGTAACTCAGTCCATATGGACAAACCTGCAGATAACTTGAAAAATTAATTTAAATTCACAAGAGTGCATACTGGTTAGGTCCTAGGAATCCTGATAATTCCCTCAACCAAAATTAAAGAGTTGTTAGCTTTAACTCAAGAGCAGATTAGAAATGCTTTTGTGAGTTGACACTAAGCCTTTTCAAGATCCAACACTTCTATTCATGAGGTCCAAAATCCTTTTACTCCTAGTCTAAATCTTGAAGTGGATATTAAGTAATTAAGCAACACACTCATTTAACGCTCAGAACCAAAAATGTGTGGGGGACACTTTTGGCTTTCATGTTTATTTATAAAAGTGTCGATGAAGTTAAGGCCATTCAGATCTGCTGGGGACCATTGTTCCATTAAGTTGGAGTTCTGACACAAATTTTAGAGTCCGGATCCCATCCTAGAGGAAGCCTGCACTGCCAGTTCTGGTGGGCATTAAGGGACAATCAGAGGGAATGAAGTAAGGCAATTCACTTGATCCTATGAATTTATAGGTAATAACCAGCACTTTGAAGTATTTTTGTGCAACAATTACAGTAGTATTCAGGCAGTAGATGGCAGTGTTTGCAAGTTGTGATCTATGGTATATAATCTATGTTCTTTTGTTCTAAGTAAAGTTTCCTGTTTTCTCTTACAGTTAAAATGGTTGAGCAGTAAAGCACATGGTGACTGTACACTTTGTTTTATCTGTGGTTCTGTAAACAGAATTTCTAATAGACGTTAGTGAAATTAACACATTAAAAGTTTTATAATGGCCAAACTGCATATCCTTCTAAATTCTCAAACAATGCAGATTAGAAATCACCTTCAATAGCAGCCCCTGTGAAGAGCCACTAGCAGAATAACAATCAGAGGAACCTGAGTCTGGGGAAAACAGTCACATGATAAAACCTCTTACAATACCCACCCTCATTCTCACAAAGGACGTAAAAGGTGACAGTGGGCAGGGCATTCAGAGTTGAAAGTCTCTATTACTGTATATTTCTTCTGAATGTAATATTGCTCTATATGGGTTGGGTTTCCTTTTCTGGACTAGCTTGAAAGTTTGACAATTGAATTCTGAACAAGGAATGAGCCACTTGATTCAGACATTAGCATAGTTTTCATAAAAGAGGAAGTAATGCAAACATCAATGGACAGGTCATTTTGACACACAATCGTTGTTACTAAGGAAAAGGTAGCTGAGGCAGTTTTGCAGATTTGCAATCACCAAATAATATTTGGAAGCAATTCAGGCAACTACCCCCTTGATTCACTGGGGTATAAGAAAGATGGGAAGTACAGCTGAATCCGATTTGCAACATTTTATTATTTTAGCTGATTTTTTTCCCCATGATGCCTGTCTTTAATTTATACTTTGTTGTATCTAGCAGATCTTCTCAAAACAGAACTTGATTTGGGAAAAACATCTGGGAAGGAAATTCCATTCAATTCAATATACAGTATTTAATGAAGAATTTGGCTTCTCCTGGAAGAAATCCCAGGAATCTTTCTGCATTGAATCCCTGAAGAGGGAAAGGAGCACATTTTGAGATGTCATTTGGTCCTGGAAGAAGAAGAAGGACCTGCAGGAAACCACAGCAAAATGGTTAGAAACCATTGAGTGAAAGTTATTCAACCACACTAAGCATGGAGCAATAATATCTTTGGTGGTAGTTTTGTTTTGCCTTTTCATTTCCATCTCTTCTCTGCCTGAGTGACTCTGTTGCAGAGGCTAGACAATTTATTTTGTGGTTCTCTGCTGTCTCCTACAGAGACATTTCAGTAGTGAAAGGAAAGGTTTTTGCATGAGATCCCTTAAGATCTACTCACTGTGTCTCTTGCACAGTAATAGACAGCCGTGTCTTCAGCTTTTAGGTTGTTCATTTGGAGATAGAGGTTGGAACTGTCCTTGGAGGCAGTAAAACGTCCTTGGATTGTTGGTGAATAAGAGTTGCTACTAGACGAGTAGTAGTAAACAATCCATTCCAGTCCTTGGCCAGGTTTCTGTCTGATCCAAAACATGTTGTAGCTATTAACGTCGAATCCAGTGGCAGCGCAAGTCAGTTTATGGGATTCTCCTGGTTTCTTCACCACTGGGTCTGACTGGGTCAGGGCAACCTGGGAGAAACCACCTAATGAAAAAAACACCAAGCCCAATTGGATAATGGTTAGAAAGTAAGAGCCATAGTTAAGATATGAGTGTTAGAAAAAGCTTAGTATGGAGCAAATTACAGACCTTTGGAGAAGGCAGCCAGCAGGATGAGAATTAAGACGTGGGTTGTCATTGTGAAGAAGTTTGGAGGGATGAGTTTTGAGACGAGGCTGAAGAAGGCACCTGAGAGTTTAAATAGGAAGTGAAAATCATGTTGACTTTGCATAAATCCTGCTGGGACCTGTATAAATATATGATGAAGTCCAGGAGTATGCTAACATTTAATAGAGAATATTTTTTCACAAAGAGGATGAAGTGCATCTGGATGCAAGCAGTCCTTGACTTATGACCACAAGTGGCACTGTAATCTTGGTAGTAAGTCACTGCTGCCTAGTAGCAACATTTCACTGGAAACAACTCTAACAGCATTTGTCATACAAGAATGTTCAGGGCTGAGTTGTATCTATTTAGCTATGTATTTCCAAAACTACCTACAATCTTTTAAAATAGTGGCCAAGTCCCTTTTACTCTTGTAAGAAGACCTGGAAGCCTTTCAGATCAGCTCCTTTGGATTTCCGTGTTTACATGTCAGAAGGTGAACCCAATTCCTGGTGACACATCTTTTTCAGAAGAAAGGATAGGAGAGGTGGGAGTTTTCCAGTCTGAACAACTACCTATTTGCTTGCCTGCAAAACAATGCAAGTGGTGATGATAATGGACATCAGTAACTCTTTAATAACTGAAGCATATCTTAGGCCCTTACATTGAAAATAAACTACATGGCTTTGACTTCCTAATCTGGCCTAGACAGAAATTTTGGTCACCACACTATAAAAAAGATATTGAGGCTCCAGGAAAAAACTGTAGAGAAGAGCAACCAGGATGATTAGGGGACTGAAGACTAAAACATATGAAGAACAGTTACAGGAACTAGGCATGGCTAGTTTAGTGAAGAGAAGGACCAGGCCAGGGGAGACATGATAGCAGTCTTCCAATATTTGAGGGGTTGCCACAGAGAGGAAGGGGTCAAACTATTTTCCAAGGAGGAAACTGAAGGCCAGTGGATGGAAACTGATCAAGGAGAGATTTAACCTAGAAATAAAGAGAAATGTTCTGACAATGAGAACAATCAACCCATGGAACAGAAGTTGCCTTCAGAAGTTGTGGGAGCTTCAGCATTGCAGGTTTTCAAGAAGAGATTGGAGTGCCATTTGTCAGAAATGGTGTAGGGTCTTCTGTTTCGGGGGGGGGTTGGACTAGATGACCTACAAGGTCCCTTCCAACTCTGACAATAACTAGATGCTGATGGAGTCATTTGATCCAGAAATGAGTACAGTTTGCAAAGAAGCAGCAATGAAGATGTCAATTCAAATGTGACTTTCACAGAATTCCACAAAAGCTGTCACAATGGGAAAGGGAGCTAAAAATATTCTAAGGACGAGAATTGCTCCTCACATATTAGGAAACAATTGAGACAAATATCCCCCTGATACATTGGGGTATAAGAAAGATAGGAAGCACAGCAAAATCCGACTTCCAAGGTTTTCCTATTTTGGCTGATTTTTTGTTTTTAAATTTCTAAAATAGAGCTATAATTCACTCTGCCTGTTGTTAGTTTAAACTTTGCTCTGTCTAGAAAGATCTTCTCAAAATGTTCAAAACATTTAATGGAAAAAATGGCTTGTCTTGGGAAAACTCCCAGCAATCTTTCTGAAATGAATCCCTGAAGAGAAAAGGGAGGACATTTTGAGATGTCATCTGGCCCTGGAAGAAGAAAAACCTGCAGGAAACCACAACCAAACTAGCTGGAAACCAATAAATGAATGATGTTCAACCAAACCAAGTATTTGTTGTTGTTGTTGTTGTTGTTGTTGTTGTTGTTGTTGTTGTTAGTTGCGAAGTCATGTCCAACCCATCGCAACCCCATGGACAACGTTCCTCCATGCCTTCCTGTTCTCTACCATCCTTTGGAGTCCATTTAAGCTCACACCGACTGCTTCAGTGACTCCATCCAGCCACCTCGTTCTCTGCCGTCCCTTTCTTCTTTTGCCCTCAATCTTTCCCAGCATTAGGCTCTTCTCCGGTGAGTCCTTCCTTCTCATTAGGTGGCCAAAGCATTTGAGTTTCATCTTCAGGACCTGGCTTTCTAAAGAGGAGTCAGTGTCGATCTCCTCTAGGACTGACTGATTTGATCGCCTTGCAGTCCAAGGGCCTTGCAGGAGTCTTCTCCAGCACCATATTTCAAAGGCCTCAATTCATTGGCGCTCATTCTTTCTTATGGTCCGAAACCAAGTATAAAGCAATAATTTATTTTGGGGTATATTTGTTTTGTCTTTTCATTTCCATCTCTTCTCTGCCAGAGTGATTCTGTTCCAGATGGCTAGACAGTTCATTTTGTGGTTCTCGGATGTCCCCTCCCAAAACACTTTTCAGGAAAGGTTTTTGCATGAGATCCCTTAAGATCTATCTCACTGTGTGTCTTGCACAGTAATAGACAGCTGTGTCTTCAGCTTTTAGGTTGTTCATTTGCAGATAGAAGTTGGAACTGTCTTTGGAGGCAGTAAAACGTCCTTGAATTGATGGTGAATAAGAATTGTCACTAGACGAGTAGTAGTAAACAAGCCATTCCAGTCCTTGGCCAGGTCTCTGCCTGATCCATCCCATATAGTAGCTGTTAATGTTGAATCCAGTGGCAGCGCAAGTCAGTTTATGGGATTCTCCTGGTTTCTTCACCACTGGGTCTGATTGGGTCAGAGTTACCTGGGAAAGGCCACCTTATAAAAAAAGACCAGAGACAATTGGATAATAGTTAGAAAATAGGAGCCATAGTTAAAAGGTGAAATTTCCCTTGAGTGTGGAAAATGCTTAACATGCTCCAAGCTACAAACCTTTCAAGAAGGCAGCCAGCATGGCGAGAATCAAAAAGTGGGGTGCCATCGTGAAGTAGTTTGAAGGGATGAGTTTTGAGATGAACTTGAAGAAGGAGAATGAGAGTTTAAATAGGAAGTGAAAGTCTTGTTGGCTTTGCATAAATCCTGCTGAGAACTGTATAAATAGGACGTGAAGTCCGGGAGTGTATAGAAATCTAGTAGAGTATATTTTTTTTTACAGAGAAGATGGAGTGTATCTGAATGCAGACAATCTTCAACTTATGACCACACTTTGGTCCATAATTTTGGCAGTAAGTCATTGTTGTCACATGTAGAAGCACCGACTTCACCAGAAATAACGCGGAGAACATTTGTTCAGTTAATCAGCATATCAAAGTGGGAGTAAGTGCAACTCAGAGATTGGAAGCTTTGTAATGCCCAAAATGTCCTGGAGCGATGCAGATTAGAAATAGACTTCAAGAGCTGTCCTAGGCAGAGTACTTTATAGTAATCCAATTGCAGAGTGTCAAGAAAACTATCTTGGAGGACAGGAGGAAGAGCTACTACCAGGGGAAGAGTCAGAGAAAAAAAAAACTGAGTGCGGGTCAGAATTGTCACCGTAGAAAACATCTCAGACAAAACCTTCCTTCATTCCCTCAAAGATAAAAGGAGGGCAGGGCAAGTGCATTGTGACTCTATTGATATATCTTGGAGTCCTAGTGGACAACCATTTAAATATGAGCCAGCTGTGTGCAGCAGCTGCCAAAAAGTCCAACACAGTTCTAGGCTGCATAAACAGAGGGATAGAATCAAGATCACGTTAAGTGTTAATACCACTTAATAAGGCCTTGGTAAGGCCACACTTGGAATACTGCATCCAGTTTTGGTCGCCATGACAAGGCAGTAATCCATGAAAGGGAATTTTGACATAGATACAGTAAAACTCTGTCAATAGTGATCTAATAAAACTAATTAACATTTCTCAAAATGAAATTAGTTTACCTTGTTTGGTCAACCATCTCCCTCTCTCTCCCTCTCCCTCCCTCCCTCTCCTTCCCTTCCTCCATCTACTTGGCATTACATTTTGTGAATACAAATTCCTCTTTTTTTACACAGTCCATATCGATCCTGTCTCATTATGTAGTCTCGGGCACAGAAATACATAGATGAGTCTGCAGCTATGACAGAATTCAGCCAGAGGGATAATTCATTCCTGGACTCATCTGCAGAGATGGTGGCACGGCCATTTACAGAATTGTCATACCATTTGCCCCCACTGCTGGGATGTATTGCTGAGACCCATTCAAGACCTTTTCCAGGTGGTTGCCTGACCTAATGCCAAGCTGCTGATGAAGTAGCAATGGAGGAACCTGTGACTTTACAAACTAGGTTGAGTTGACTTCCAGGTCTTACCATTTCTGGCCCAGATTCTACAAGCTGAATGTCTGAGAAGACTCCTTGGGAAAAAAGAAAAGATTTCAATCAACAAATAACATCACTGACAAAATAATGGTCTAATAATTTTCCATTAAGTATTCTTACATCGTGGAAGCGCTAAGAAGCAAAAGGCAAAGAACCACAATGCCATAATAGCCATCTAGGATGGTCCCTGAACATCAAAGGAAGTGAGGAACTCGTAGTGAATGGGCTTATTTTGAAGCAAAGCATTAGCATTGCATCTCATAAAGTTTTGCATGAGCTCCTCCTCTATTGCATGGTGAATAATAAATTCAACCTTAAAATCTGAGTTTGTTATAAGATTGGCTCATGGACCAGTTTCTGTTCTTTGATAAACTGAGATGGAGAGATTTTGAAATGTCGTGTCTGTATGAAGTTCCTGATGATTTATTATTATTTATTATTTTTGCAGATCCTTCAGTCCTATCAACATGTCTCAGTGCTATGTTTTTGCCTTAAATTGTGGAAAGAAAGGAAGTGAAAACATAATGGAAAAGATACGCCAGCACTTAAACATTAAGTTGGCCTTACTGACAGGGAAGATCATTTAGGTAAGAAAAACCCAAAGTACACATATAGACTCGGTGAAACCAGGCTTAATAGCAGTAATTGTGAGAGGGATCTTGGAGTCTTAGTGGACAACCAGTTAAATATGAGCCAACAGTGTGCGGCGGCAATCAAAAAATCCAATGCAATCCTAGCAGTGTTCCAATATCTCAGGGGCTGCCACAAAGAAGGAGTCAGATTATTCTCCAAAGCACCTGAGGGTAGAACAAGAAGCAATGGGTGGAAACTAATCAAGGAGAGAAGCAACTTAGAACTAAGGAGGAAT